CTGACCAACATGGTGAAACCCCATCTCTACTAAAAATACAAAAATTAGTGGGGCGCGGCAGTACACATCTGTAATCCCAGCTACTGGGGAGGCTGAGGTGAGAGAATGACTTGAGCACGGGAGACGGAGGTTGCAGTGACTGAGACTGCACCACTGCATTCTAGTCTGGACTATAGAGCGAGATTCTGTCTCAGAAAAACAAAACAAAAAGCTTACAAAATGTATAGGCCGGGCGCGGTGGCTCAAGCCTGTAATCCTAGCACTTTGGGAGGCCAAGACGGGCGGATCACGATGTCAGGAGATCGAGACCATCCTGGCTAACACGGTGAAACCCCGTCTCTACTAAAAAATATAAAAAACTAGCTGGGCGAGGTGGCGGGCCCCTGTAGTCCCAGCTACTCGGGAGGCTGAGGCAGGAGAATGGCGGGAACCCGGGAGGCGGAGCTTGCAGTGAGCTGAGATCTGGCCACTGCGCTCCAGCCTGGGCAACAGAGCAAAACTCCGTCTCAAAAAAAAAAAAAAATACAAAAACAAATACAAAAAATTAGCCAGGCGTGGTGGCAGGCGCCTGTAATCCTGGCTACTCAGGAGGCTGAGGCAGGATAATCACTTGAACCCAGGAGGCAGAGGTTGCCATGAGCCGAGATTGTGCCACTGCACTCCAGCCTGGGCGACAGAGAAACTGTCTCAGAAAAAAAAAAAAAAAAAAATTGTGGGTTGCTTTAAAAACCTATAGAACTGGCTGGGTGTGGTGGCTTACCCCTGTAATCCCAGCACTTTGGGAGACCGAGGCGGGTGGATCACCTGAGGTCAGGAGTTCGAGACGAGCCTGGCCAACATGGCAAAACCCCATCTCTACTAAAAATAAAAATAAAAAAAATAAATTAGCTGAGCTTGGTGCTGGCACATGCCTGTAAGCAGGAGGCCGAGGCAGGAGAATCGCTTGAACCCAGGAGGCGGAGGTTGCAGTGAGCCAAGATTGTACCATTGCACTCCAGCCTGGGGGACAAGAGCGAAACTCCGTCTCAAAAACAAACAAACAAAAACCCTACAGAACCAACATAGTGCTTTAAAATATGGCATCATTGCATTGGTTCATTCCAACAACCTAAGTATATTCAACAGTGTGGGCAGACTGTTAAGGGCGTATGGTACTATCACAATTTTTTGTTTTGAGACAGAGTCTCGCTCTGTCACCCAGGCTGGAGTGCAGTGGCATGAGCTTGGCTCACTGCAGCCTCCACCTCCCAGGGTTCAAGCAATTCTCCTTTCTCAGCCTCCCGAGTAGCTGGGATTACAGGTATGCACCACCACATCCAGCTATTTTTTGTATTTTTAGTAGAGATGGAGTTTTGCCATGTTGCCCAGGCTGATCCTGAACTCCTGACACCCACCTCGACCTCCCAAAGTGCTGGGATTACAGGCGTGAGATGGTGCACCTGGCCAGCTACTATCACAATTTTTAAAATCACAAGTGTTGCAAGAGTTTAAAGTATTTTAAATTTAATTGTGCTAATATTTAACATGTACATCATGTTTTGTTCTCAAGCTGTATCACTGCCCACATAGTTAACAACATTGAATCCAAACCACTAACTCATGAGAGGCCATCCCAGGAGAATAAGGCAGTTAGAGGGGAATCTTCCTAGAGCCTCTTTTGTGACTGTTGAGCCTACTTCGGGAACGTATTACTTCTTTTGAAGTTTCCCTCTGGGAGGAGCCAAGATAATCTTACAGGCAAAAAGAGGCTTCAGGTGACACACAGACATTATACAACCCCCTGCCCAGCCCTCACCTTCAGCGAACCCCTGCCTTCCAGCATCACTCGCCTCAGGTGTTGGAGCAGAGGCCGGCCTGCAGTTCTAGGGTCTCCTGGGCATGCCTGCCTGTTACTGGCACAGCAATCTTTGTGTGTGGCCCAAGGATCTTCTATACCCATGGCTGGGGCAGCAGGGCAGAAAACAGCCTCCACTTTTGAGGGAGATTTTAGCACTGCATGTCCTCAGACCCCGTTCCCTCAAGGGACATCTCACTTCAGTTCTTTTCAGAAAGGCCCACTGGGCTGGGTGCAGTGACTGGCCTGTAATCCCGATACTTTGGGAGGCTGAGGCAGGAAGATCACTTGAGCCCAGGTATTCAAGACCAGACTGGGCATGAGACCCCTGTCTCTACAAAAAAATTTTAAAATTAGTCAGGTGTGGTGGCTTGCACCTGTAGTCTCAGCTGCTTAGGAGGCTGAAGCAGGAGAATCCCTTGACCCCGGGAGGTTGAGGCTGCAGTGAGCCATGATCGTGCATCTGCACTCCAGCTTAGGCGACAAAGTGAGACCCAGTCTCAGGAAAAAAGAAAGGCTAACTGGCATCTGAAACTTCTTGTGAGATTCAATCTCCCTCTGCTGCTAAGATAAAAATAAGAAAGTATTACATATATGAAATAAAATAATTTCACATTTCTTAAAATATTCCTGTAGGCAGCTTGGCCAGGTTACTTTGTATCCATCCAACCACGGATGGCACTGGAATGCCTTCCACCTGTGCTGGGAGTGGGGCAGGTCCCCAGGTGGCAGGGTGCATGCCACACAAGTCAGGACAACAGCGGGGACTGAGCTTCGCTCCAACTTTTGGTCTAGAGAGACCACCCCAAAGTCTGGACATTTGGAAAATATTTGAAATCTAGGAGGCACCCAATGTGAGGAGCAAACTCACCCGTCCAAACCCAAAGAATGGACTCAGAGACCCGGACAACAGTGAAAGAGGCTTTTAATAAGATCGTGTGTCTAATGAGCAGGCACACCCGGCACTGTTTCAACAAGCAACGTATCCCCTAGTGTGCACGCTCCTCCTTCCTTACAGGCTGAGTACCATGGGGTCACAATCTTCCCAGACGGTGCTTACTGGTTGTCAGCCAGGGGCTTTAGGCGTTTTCTTTAGGACTGTCTTGCTGCATTTTGTTACAGCCTGCAGTGCATTGCAATCTTAGTCCACTTAGGAGCTCTTCAAGTATTTGACTTATGACCTAAGTAGCTAGGCTGGCTGGTAGGAACAGACAAAGTAAGCTATTTTGCAGGCCAGTAAACTTTCCTTTTAGACTCAACTTTTTTGGTTCGGGTGAGGGCAACTAAGAAAGTGGGGAGGGGGCAGAAGGGGGAGCCGACAAGAAGGCATCGGCTAGCCTGAAGGGCCTAGCACATCCCGTTTCTTCCGTAGTTTGCTGACCTAAGCCAATTCAAGGCACTTTGTCTTAAAAATGAACCACTGTATACCTTATTTCCTTCACCCAAGTAACAGCTTAAAGTTTTACTTTGAGTCACCTGTTCTTTGACCAACAGTTTCTAAATAGCTGTATACTGCCCCCCAAAAAAGTTGTATTTAACAAGGAGCAGCCCCTATTTGAATGATTTAGCAGCAAGCTAAGGCGAAGACACACAGTGCTCACATTTCAGAATAAGAACACATTTATTCAGATGAGCCAGAAGTCCAGGGTCACGCAGCTTCGCCTGCAGGAGATGCTTTACACACTCTCCCATTTTCTTTTCAGAACATACACTGTGGGAATTCACAAACTAAAACAAATCTCTGGTGACTTCCCATCTGTACATTATGCTTTACAGCTTCAATTGAATTTTTTTAAAACTTAACTTCCAAGCTGGCCTGCCTAACACTGTGAGTCAAAAGTAACCCTAAAAAGCAAAAACACACAGCACTGAAGGGTCTCTGGGTGGTAATGTCAGCGTGGGCTGGGGAGGTGAGACCAAGCACATGGCCAGCAGACCGCAGGACGGGCCCTGGGGCTCATCATACAGAAATATGACAAGAGAGTGAAGTCACAACTTCAGATGTCATTGGAGCTATCTATATATGACACACACATTATAAACAAATAACCTGGAACACTTCACAACATATGACACCTGTTCTACCTGGGAATGCAAACCCTGAGCTGAAAATAAGAACACCGATGTGGGAGACACCACAGCCTGAAGCTGCTCTCCTCTTCCCTCCTCTCCTCTCCCCTCCTCTCCTCTCCTCTCCCCTCCTCTCCTCTCCTCTCCTCCAGTCCCGTGATGGGTTACGCTGAGCCAGCAATGTGCATGCACTAACTCCACAGGTGTTAAAGGTAAGGTCACTTCTAAACACACAACACAATTACCTTAAACATTAGGACGTTAAAAGTTAAAACCCCAGCCAGGCGTGGTGGCTCACACCTGTAATCCCAGCACTTTGGGAGGCTGAGGTGAGTGGATCACTTGAGGTCAGGAGTTTGAGACCAGCCTGATCAACATGGTGAAATCCTGTCTCTACTAAAAATACCAAAAAAAAAAAAAAAAAAAAAATTAGCCAGATGTTGTCGCGGGCGCCTGTAATCCCAGCTACTCGGGAGGCTGAGGCAGGAGAATCGCTTGAACCCAGGAGGCAGAGGTTGCAGTGAGCCGAGGTTGCGCCACTGCACTCCAGCCTGGGCCACAGAGTGAGACTCCATCTCACAGAAAAGAAACAGCTGCTGGCCATCAGTCCTGACGGACCACGGCACTTACTACCCACGGACAGGCTGCTTCAGAGCTTGGCACTGGTGGGCACACTGGTTTTAAAGAGGAATTATGCAAGGAAGCAAGGGAACAGCCAACCTTTGCTGGCAACGGCGCTCACGGGGTTGCCCCGAAGGCTGCTTCTGCCACCCACACCGCACACTCACATCTTCCCTTCCTCCTGACTTCCATTTCCTCTCCCCGCTCTGAGGATCGAGCCCTGACAGGGACAGACTGTGAGGGACAAGGAGACTGTTGGCCCCAACCAACCCCAGTCGTGCCACACGGAGAGAGGCAAGAACTCTCAGGGAGATGCGGAAAGGGGCCACGTCAGCCAAAGCAGAAGGGGCTTTTTTAGAATCAGGGAAGGGAATGGGACCCACCCGGAAAAGGCACTGTGCCTTTTCTGTGCTGTGGCAGAAGCTTCGATTCCAAACCGAGATACGGACCACACTCTGAAAGCACCCATGGCAGGTCGTGACTGAAGTTATTTTGGCAAAGGGCCGAAGAAAAGGTCTGGCCCAAAATAACTGACCTGAAATAACAGAAATTTCCCCTTCCTAACCTTCTTTCGTTCAACTTAGTATTCTAATAGATGAGAATTTGGTTTAACGTGAGGCCTCCCTCCCTCAGAAGGCACGGCAGCCCGCAGGGAGGGCTCAGCCCCATTCTTGGTTAGGTTTGGTTTTGCCTGGAGGTGCGGCAAGTTCTGTGCCATGAAAGCGATTTCCCTCCAGCTCTGGAGATAGGCGGGGCACAGCTTCAGTGACTTTTCTTTTTTTGTGGGAAAAAGGTGTACTTTGTAGGGTTAAACTCTTCCCAGATGCGCTCAAATTCTTCCAGAAAAAGCCGCACGTACTCGTCGTCCTCCATGATGAGAACGTTCTCCCTGTTGTTCTGGATGGCTTGCGTGGTCCAGTTGAGCGAGCCAGTGATGAGCACCCGCTTGTCCACGATGGCAAACTTGTGATGCATGTAGCCCAGGTCCTGATCGTGCCGGACCTGGATCCCTGCAGAAAGGACAAGGTGGTGATTTCATTCCATGCAGGAGTCCCGCCTCCAGTGTGGACTGTTCCTGGGGGCTACTGGCTTTGTGCTTCCAGTTTGGTGGGCCAGGAAAGCCCGCCACGCTTTCACAGAATGGTGGCGGCTAAGCTCCCAGGAGGGACACTTGAGAACCACAGAGGGGACATTACACACGGGGCCAGAGCATCACACACAGGCCGTGGGGGACTGGGCGGGCCGTGGTCTGGGTGAGACCACACCTCCGAGTCTATGGCAGCCAGTATACTGCTTGCGGTCGAAGCTGTCACTAACCCGGTCAGAGGTGACCAGGGCAAAGACAGAGTGTGAGCCTTCAGGTTCTGACTCCTCCACAGCTAAGGCTGAGAGCCGTGCCCACTCTGCTCAGAGAGGCCCCGGTGTCTGGCAGCAGAGCCCAATTTGCTGGCACAACCTCGGCCACCAAGGCAGGAAGGGCCCTACCTAACAACGCACAAATGAATTCTCTTCTGCACCCCCGTTTCCTTCACCAAAGAACCGGGCATCCCCGCCTCTGCTCTTCCCAGCTTTCAAACTCCTCCTGGGAAGGGCCTGTGTCTGTCTCCCCTGGAATCACTCATGACCTGCCTCACTCATGACCTGCTCAAGGAATGAGGCCGTCAGAAATGGGGGTTAGAAGAAGTTTTAGGCTGGGCGCGGTGGCTCAAGCCTGTAATCCCAGCACTTTGGGAGGCCGAGGCGGGCGGATCACGAGGTCAGGAGATCGAGACCATCCTGGCTAACACGGTGAAACCCCGTCTCTACTAAAAATACAAAAAACTAGCCGGGCGCGGTGGCGGGCGCCTGTAGTCCCAGCTACTCGGGAGGCTGAGGCAGGAGAATGGCGTGAACCCGGGAGGCGGAGCTTGCAGTGAGCTGAGATCCGGCCACTGCACTCCAGCCTGGGTGACAGAGCAAGACTCCGTCTCAAAAAAAAAAAAAAAAAGAAGAAGTTTTAAACAGGCTGCCATGGAACACAGCTGCCAGATTTTCCAAATCAAAATACAGGACATCCAAGTTAAATGGAATTTCAGATAGAGAGTCATCTTTGAAGGGAAGCGTGTCCCACGGAGTACTGGGAACATAACTTAAAAATCACTCCCTGTGCATGGAACTCACATTTAATTGTGCCTCCCGAATTGGGCCTGGCAGGATGGGGACTTGGTGGCTTCCTTACCTCGGGGATCCAATCCTTTTTACACTCTGGCCACTCCGCCAGCACGTCCTGTCGGCACGGCCCTCCAAACACATTCCTCCACATGGTGGGCAATCTAAAACCCCACCATTGCCGACATCTCCGCCTCCGCTGGGATCCACTGCCCACCTCCCCGTCCCCTCCCCGCAGCCCACCACCTCTGGCCACAGAGGACTCCCTGCCGTTCTTCACAAGGAAGTCAGTATGTGACCCAGGGCGTCTGTGCTGCTACCCCTTCCAGCTGCACGCCTCTCCCTCCGGACAGCCCACGCGTGTCCGCAAGGCCCCTGCCCTGAGTGTCACTGCCCCTGGGCAGCTGACCTGGCCCACGCCACTTCCTCCCACACCACTGCCTCCTTACCCTGCTTTATGAAATTTTCTTGGCCCTTCTTAGTGCCCTAAATGAAATATTCGTGACTTAGTTGGCATCTCCATGGGAACCTGGCCTTGTGCCCTAGGATGTTCCAGCTCCTCACAAATACTGGCACGCAGGGGACATTCCTTGAACAGATGAATGCCACCGGACAGCCTCGAAGTCAGCGAGGATGTTGGGAGGCCATCCCAGAGGGAATCCGATGGGACCTTGGTCTAGGGGCCCTTGAAGGGTCTTCACCAATCTCAGCTTCTACGACTCGAAAAGCAACTCAAACAGAACTGTACTGTGCACGCCTGGAGGTCCCCAAACCTCCCGTTAAAATCACCAACGCATTGGACGACAGCTCTTGAGGCTCGTGCCCCACTCTGCTTCCACGTGGGGTGCAACATGCCCCACACCACCCAGGGCAGGCAGGGACCCTGGCTGACTCTGGAGAGGCTGCTCTGCGGCCCAAGTCAACGAGAGGCCATGGCTGTGCAGAAGGAACGGGCGGCAGTGACCACTGCCCAGCTCGGACAGTTGCCAGGCTCCACGTGTCTCTCAGTCACTGCGACCACCAGACTGATGAGCTCCAGCGGGAGCACATGCAGGTGTGACTCTCTGGGTGCCTGAGTGATGGAGACAGAGAGACGCCCAAGAGTCTGTGGGTGCACAAAAGGCAAGAGTCGGCTGGGCCGCGGAACTGGGCCAGGATGGACTGAGAATTCTCAGGCGGGACAAGGATCCCAAATATTCACACTTCCTGGTCCCTTCTGTCCCCACCCCATGAGAGAGGTGCCCCCGCCAGCGAGATATGTGTTCCACTCCTTTTGCAGCTGGGAAAACGAACGTCCTGGCGCTGCTTTCTGGAACATATGTTTAGGTCTCCCAGAGCCCGGTGGCCTGAGGTTCACTCGGCAGCAGGTGGCCGCCTCTCCCCAGAGCCCTTCAGTCTGGAAGTCCAAGCACAACCCTGGCGTCCAGGTCCCCGGCCAGCAGGATCCAGGTCACCACAGGCCGTCCGGGGGTCTCCGGCAGCCTGCAGGAGGGCGAGCCCGGGCTGCAGCAGTCCCGAAAAAGTTTTTCGCTGGCGGCGCCCGGGGAGTTGCTAGGGGAGCCTGCTCTGCCTCTAACCCGGCACACGCAGGCCCACCCGCTTCCAGCATGCCAGGACAGGTCACTTAGAAAACTGCCCCCACCGCGGAGGCACCGAGGGCCCGGCTCGCTTATGCCAGCGCAGCTTGCTAGACCTTTCGTGGGGGCTCTGCTTTCTCCGCGTTACACCACCCCTACTCCACAACGCCACGAGGAAAGTAAATGAGGCCTTAGCCCGTTCCCAAACCCCCTCCCCTAAGTGTCCACCTTTGCCTAGGACCCCGCGTGGCTCAGGCCGGCCTTCTCCGCCTGGACCCCCGCCGGGCCTACCTGCCTTGCGCAGCAGGCCGATTTGCGAGCCGTTGAGGGCCATGTAGTCGCAGTCGGTGACGACCCTCACTCGCACCCCGCGCTGGTGCAGCAACTGCACAGCGCGGCCCAGCTGCGGACTGGAGAAGGCGAACAGGCAAAGCTCCAGGCTGGCGCGGGCGGCCAACAGGGCACGCAGCAGGCGGCTCAGCGCGCTCTCGCCGTGGGGGAGGCCGCACGGGCAGCCCTCGGGGAGCTCGGCCAGCGCCGCGCCCGGAGCCCGCAGCAGAGCCTCGGTACAGGTCACCTGCGACGGGAAGAACAGCACCTCGCGCCGCGGCCGCCGCCGCCTGGACCGCAGCCAGCGCAGCACCCCGGGCAGCGCCTCCAGGGCCAGAGCCAGGCCCATAGCCGCCGCGGCCGCCACCTGCCACCGCAACCGCCCCATGCCGCTGCTGACCCGGGCCCCAGGGGCACGCCGCCGCACCCGAGTCTGCGCGCCCCCAGCCCCAGACCGCCACGCGCCAGGCCACGCCCCCTCACGCGCCGCCAACGGCCACGTGCCAGGCCACGCCCAGCCCCCCATGGTCACATGCCATGCCACGCCCCCGTCACACCCCGCCAACGGCCACGTGCAAAGTCACGCCCCCAGCCCCCGAGGGCCACGCGCTAGGCCGCGCCATGCCCTCACAACTGCCACTCACCAAGCTGAACCCACCCCTCCCACTAGCCCACCCCCAGCCCTCAACGGGTGACCACGCCTCCCTCCACGCACCAGGCCACGCCCCCCGCCACAGGCCCCCTAAGGCCAGGCCGCGCCCTCCATTTTCCTTCCAGCCTGGCGCCCGGCCCTGCCCCCCTGGTCCCACCTCCCACCACGTGCCAAGCCGCGCCCCCAAGCCCGCGCCACCAGGCAGCACCTGCACACCTGCGGGCCACGGGCCCTAGCGCACCCGTCACCTGCCCAGGCCAGAGACCGCCCTCCGCCCTATAAACCTGAGCAACCCCGGCTCTCCTCGCTTGGAGCACAGCAGAGCTGCTCCGGAAATGTGGGGTCACACCTTCACTGTCTTCGCCCGAGCAGCTAGGCTAGGCTGAGGAAGGACCTGGGAACACAGATATCAGGGAATCAGCACGGCTGGAGGCAGCATTGGAACCCAGCGTACTGGAGGCGGTGGCAGAGTGGGGATGCCCAAGCGCAGAGCTAGGCCCCTAAAGGTTTTTTCCCAGCCCAACGGGATCTCTGGCGTTGTTGGAAGGCCTGCCCTGCTTTAAGCATAAACAGAGGAAGAGACAAAGGCAGCTGAGGGCACTGGCCCGGGGGCATAGGGAAATGGGCAATGTATTGTTCTGGGCTGGATCCTGGAACAGAAAGAAGGCATTCACGGAAAAACTGGTGAGAGCCAAATAAAGTCTGGAGCTTAATCGCATTGTACCAATGTCAGTTTCTTAGCTTTGACAAATACATGAAAGGAATGTCAAAGGCTAACAAAGGAAGCTGGGTGGGGGTAAATGGAACTCTCTGTTCTACGAAACTTTTCTGTAAATCAAGTTATTCTAAATTAAAAGTTTATTAAAATATTCAACTTGCACCTTTCATATGATCCAGCTATCCCACTCCTAGGAGAAAGGATGGGATCCATTAACACATGCACATGTTCACCAGTGTTCCTGGCAGGCTTGTGTGCCTAGAACAACCCAAACGCACATCAACAGGTAAATAGGTAAATAAGCTTTTGTATATCTATACAAGGGAATGCTATTTAGCAGTAAAATAGAATGAAGTGGCCTGGCACAGTGGCCCACGCCTGTAATCCCAGAACTTTGGGAGGCTGAGGCGGGAGGATAGCTTGAGTTCAGGAATTTGAAACCAGCCTGGCCAACATGGTGAAACACTGTCTCTACCAAAAAATACAAAAATTAGCTGGGTGCGGGGGCATGTGCCTGTAATCCCAGCTGCTCAGGAGGCTGAGGTGGGAGAATCGCTTGAGCTCTGGAGACTAAGATTGCAGTGAGCCAAGATCATGCCGTTATTGCACTCTAGCCTGGGTGACACAGGAAGACCCTGTCCCCCCCCTCAAAAAAAAAAAAGTACTCATATATGCTACAACGTGGATGAATTTCATTAATACTGAGTGGGAAAAGCCAGACAGAAAGAGTACATACTGTATTATTCCATTTACATAACATTCTAGAAAACGCAAACTAGACAGAGGGAAAGCAGACCAGTGTAGCCTGGAGGGGCCAACAAATCCACAAGGAAGTGGACTGATGGATGTGTGTTTATCAACTTGACTGTGGTGGTTTCACGGGTATACACGTGTCAAATTGTATGGTTTAAATAAGTAAAATGTATGTCAGTGATTACGTCAATAAATTTTTTATTTATTTTTTTTTGAGATGAAGTCTCACTCTGTTGCCCAGGCTGGAGTGCAGTGGCACAATCTTGGCTCACTGTAACCTTCACCTCCCGGGTTCAAGCAATTCTCCTGCCTCAGCCTCCCGAGTGCTGGGACTACAAATGCACACTATCACACCCGGCTAAATTTTTTTTTTTTTAGTAAGACGGGTTTCATCGTGTTGCCAGGCTGTCTCAATCTCCTGACTTCGTGATCCTCCGCCACGGCCTCCAAATGCTGGATTACAGGCTGAGCCACCGTGGCCATAAAATTCTTAACAAAGAAAACGAGCACTTGCCGGGCGGTGGCAGCTGTATCCAGCTTGGAGGCGAGACGGGCGGTCACAGTCAGGATGAGACCATCCTGGTAACACAGTGAACCCGTCTCTAAAAATACAAAAACTAGCGGGCGAGGTGGCAGGCGCTGTGTCCAGCTACTCGGGGGCTGAGGCAGGAGATGGGTGAACCGGGAGGCGGAGCTTGCAGTGAGCTGAGATCCGGCCACTGCACTCCAGCCTGGGTGACAGAGCGAGACTCCGTCTCAAAAAAAAAAAAAGAAAAAAAAGAAAACAAGCACTTGAGTTTAGTGCTGGCTCCCAGGCTTCCTAGTTGCATGGTCTAGGGCAAGTTGATTCATCTCTTTGAACTTCACTTTCCTCATCTAAAACGATAATGGGAGGAGGGACTTGTAGTTATGGAAGTAAAAAGAAGGACTCAAATCCCTCCAAAGAGGGATAAGCAAAAATAAAACTGGGGGAAATGGTCAAAAACAGCCACTTCATGGCTGGAAATCTACCAAAGGCAGACAACAAAATGAGAAGCTTTATTTGATTTTTATTTATTTTTTGTCTTTCAGTTTCTATTTTTAACTTTGTGGGTATATAGAAGTTATATGTATTTATTGGGTACATGAGATATTTTGGTACAGACATGGAATTTGTAATAATCACATAAGGGTAAATGGGATATCCATCACCTTAAGCATTTATCCTTTCTTTGTGTTGCAACATTTAGTTACTAGTTTTTTATTTTTACTTTTTATTTTTTTTTTTCAGATGTAGTCTTGCTCTGTCATCCAGGCTGGAGTGCAGTGGCATGATCTCGGCTCACTGCAACCTCCATCTCCCGGATTCAAGCGATTCTTCTGCCTCAGCCTCCAGAGTAGCTGGGATTACAGGCACCCACCACCATGCCCGGCTAATTTTTGTATGTTTAGTGGAGATGGGGTTTCACCATGTTGGCCAGGCTGGTCTCAAACTCCTGGCCTCAAATGATCCACCCACCTCGGCCTCCCAGAGTGTTGGGATTACAGGTGTGAGCCACCGTGCCTAGCCATTTGTGTTTATTTTTTATTTTTTGAGACGGAGGCTCGCTTTGCTGCCCAGACAGGAGTGCAGTGGTGCCATCTCAGCTCACTGCAACCTCCACCTCCCTGGTTTAAGTGATTCTCCTGCCTCAGCCTCCCGAGCAGCTGGGATTACAGGTGACTGCCACCACGCCCAGCTAACTTTTGTACTTTTAGTAGAGATGGGGTTTCACCATGTTGGCCAGGCTGGTCTCGAACACCTGACCTCAGGTGAGCCACCCACCTCGGCCTCTCAGAGTGCTGGGATTACAGATGTGAGCCACAGTGCCCGCTATAATAACCATTTTAATATATGTGTGTGTATGTAACTCATAACATCATGTTGTGTACCTTAAATATACACAATACAATTTATTTTTTAAAAGGTTAAAAGGTTATACAAAGTATATTATCAGATAAGGGGTTAATTTCCAAAATATATAAGAGCTCAAGTGATTCTCCTGCCTCAGCCTATTGAGTAGCTGGGACTACAGGTGTACACCACCAGCCTGGCCAATATTTTTTTGTATTTTTAGTAGAGATGGGGTTTCAGCATGTTGGCCAGGCTGGTATCAAACTCCTGGCCTCAGGTGATCCTCCTGCCTCAGCCTCCCAAAGTGCTGGGATTACAGGCGTGAGCCACAGTGCCTAGCCCTGAGTGTTAAGTATCTTGAATGTAAAATCAGGAAACCCCTGACTGCCTTCAAACACACGGGGAAGGTTCAGGATCTGGAATTTGTTTTGTCTCTTCCACTTGGTGTGAGAAACTACAAAATCGGGAACCCCCATTCCTTCACAAGGGCAGCAGAGTCTAGCCTGGTCTTGGGCTGGCATAGATTCCGCTCAGCCTCCTGCTCTTCTGCACTCATGACCAATAGGAAAAATCTTCAAGAACTGCATGCTTGTGGGGAGAAAAAGCCCACAGCTGCCTAGAAATACCATTCGGCGTAGGGCCCTGCCTGCCCCCTCGCCAGCGAGCTTTATTAGACATGGAGAATCCAGGTCATACACGCCCCTGACATGAATGCAGAGCTAACTTACACTGGGCTCCTACTTGCCAAGTGGATTCAGCCACTAGACCGGCAGACAACTGGCAAAGACTGAGCACAGAACCGCGTTCCCAGGAATGCCATGCACATGAGAAACAAGAGGAATCTGTACCCGAAGTTGGGGAGGACAGTGGGTGGTCATCTCTCCTTTAGTTTTCCCTTGACCCACACAGGCCAGGGGGTCCCCTCCCACTCGGGTAGATGACTAAACCACAGGGAGCCCTGCGGTCTTAGGGATTGTCATGGTCACCCAGGGTGATTCCAGCCATCTTCCTCTCAGATGGACATATCTTTAAATACCATTATTAAGGGATGAGCCATTTCCTAAAGCTGAACAAAATGCCAAGCGCATAGGCATGGATGCTCAACAGAGGTCCTTGGGATAAATGAGTGTTTGCTTCTCTCCAACACCAACTCTAACGACTAACTTGGAAAAGATTGTCTATGATCATTACAGCAGCTTAAACATGTGAATTGGCCACTGACTGGTATTTTGTTTTGTTCTGTTTTTTGAGACGGAGTCTTGCTCTGTCGCCCAGGCTGGAGTGCAGTGGTGCAATCTTGGCTCACTGCAACTTCTGCTTCCTGGGTTCAAGTGATTCTCCTGCCTCAGCTTCCTGAGTAGCTGGGATAACAGGCACCCACCACCATGCCCAGCTAATTTTTTGTATTTTTAGTAGAGACAGGGTTTCACCGTATTAGCCAGAATGGTCTAAACTTCCTGACCTTGTGATCCGCCTGCCTTGGCCTCCCAAAGTGCTGGGATTACAGGTGTGAG